ATTTTCATGTTCTAAGATAACCTTTCATTAATCATGAATTTACATAACATTCGTCTAGGGAACGGGTACTCCAGCTAGTATATAAACAGTGTTCCGACCAATGCCGTTGTATTCCAGTAGGCCTGAAGAACTCTGGATTGAGCAAAACGCGTCGTCAGCAATGGATACGACAAATATAGTGTGATTGGTTAAAATACTATTATTATACACTTTTTTAATTCTTGAAAATCCCTAAGGAACTGGTTAAAGAATGTAGTATTTACAATTTTAATAAGCCTCATACTAATGTCTTATGACAACTATAATTTTAAAAATAAACTGACTTGTAAATTTCACAGATAATCAATCGAGCAGCTGAATATAAGCGATTAACTAACACTGATCCAAATATTTCACTGAAACTAAATACTTCACTGGCACCCTACCGTTAAAACATATATACTGGCTTACTGCTAGCAGATCCTGGTATCTATAATGCAGCATTGCTTCTATAGATACTTCGTAAACTGATAAAGTTATTAGATTTTCCTGATGTCATCTGGAACATTATATAGGACCTACTCCCACAAACTTACTTGATATTAAAGTTTTGCGCCCTCTAGCTAACATAGAATTTAATCATTGAAAATATAATCTTACTATAAATGGAATAATGGCGTGACCGTCTATCTATCTATGTGACCGAAGCCATAAATACAATAGTGCAATATGTTGTGCTCAAATACAACAAAATCTCAATGCCAGAAGTGGTTATTGAGGCTTATGAAATGTAATGTCATCTATAAAATGGTACCATAAAGAAAAATCCATAAACAAATTCACACTTTGGGTATTCAAGATTCAGACAAATAGAAAAATAATTATGGTATGTGCAACAACCATTTCTTTATAACTGAACGCAATTTTAAATAAAAGTATTCTCCTCACAGCAAGATCACAACTTTCACTAAAACTGTACATGAGGATTTGATTATATCTTTATTGATGTAATTTTTAAATGTACACAGC